GTCGGCGTTTAAAAGATTCAGACGAAGTAGCCCGGATCACATCCTCGGGAAGAGCGTTCCAGTGTCTAACAACTCCTAGGGAATAGAAGTTGTACCTGACATCCAGTCCGCTATGTTCCAGGCTTAGTTTCTGTACATGCCCTCTAAGATTAGCGTTGCAGGTAAGGTTTAATAAGTGTCGGAGTGGGTGGCCAGGCGTGCTCAGAATGTTGTAAGTCATTGTCAAGTCACCTCTTAGCCTTCTGTATTCCAGAGGATACGGATCCAACGCAACCAGCCGTTCATCGTATGTTTCGGACCTGAGTCCTTGAACAGATTTTGTCGAACGCCTCTGGATGCGTTCTAAGCCCACTTTGTCCTTCTGGAGATAAGAGGGGAAGACGATGGTCTCGAACTCCAGGTGAGGCCTTATGAAGCTGTTGAAAATTTGGTGGAGGCATATACGATTGAATTGCCCGAAAATTCGTCTAAGAGTTACTAACGCCAAGTTCCCACGAAGTGTGTTTCTGTCACAGTTGGCGTAGGATTTTACTTCCTGGGGGACCGATAGGCCCAAATCCTTTTCCGTCAGTGACGCCTCAAATTCCATGCTGTTGAGGCTATATACACGAGATGCATCATGTTTTACGTGTATTACCTTGCACTTCTCAGGATTAAATTCAAGCCCATTGTTGACTGCCCAACTTTGAAGTCAAGTCAGGTCTTCCTGTAGAGAAACGCCGTCTTCACTTCTGATTTCCCCCAGAGTTTCACGTCATCGGCAAAAAGAAGGATTTCGGAAGAGACCTGTTGAGGCAAGTCGTCTATGTATATCGGAGAAAGGAGGGGCCCTAGTACTGAACCTTGGGGAACACCACTAGGACATTCTGTTTCTTTAGACACAGAGAAACTCACCCGAACTCTAAATGAACTGCCCGTAGATTTGAAGACAGCCGGTCAATGAGCGGAGGTTGAATCCCAATTAATTTTGGTTTATCGATAAGACAGTCGTGATTAACACGATCAAACGCCTTGGCAAAGTCTAGGTAGATGACGTCAATTTGTCCTTGACGGTCAACAATGCTAGTCCACCTATCTACTGTAGCGAGCAAATTGGTAATGCAGGAGTACCCCTTTCGAAATCCACGTTGCTGGGGCGCGGAGAAATTTATCTTTGTGAGGTAATCCCCCAGTCTATCGTAAATCAAAGACTCCATTACTTTGGAAGGAATGGATAGAAGTGTCACCGGTCTGTACTTCTTTGAATTGCTTCGTTGACCACCTTTGAAGATTGGCGTTATGTGGCCCAGCTTCCAAGAGTCAGGTACTATTCGCTGACTCAGAGAACTCTTGACTAACTTACTTAAGGGTCCGGACAAGATCGAGGCTCCCTCTCGCAGTAACACCGGATGGATTTCATCTGGTCCCGAAGATGTGTCTCTGGTGAGCAGTAGCATTTTGCGCTGTACTAGCTCAACGCTTAGGTCGACCACTGAGAGTCCTACTTCGTTAGTGGGATATTTGTAAGCTCCTGAGTAGGTGGACGATGACGAAAAGATTTGCAGATGCCGGTCGGCCAAGAGTTCAGCTGCTTCAGTGTCACTAATAGTCACTCCGTTCGCACCCAGTAGTTGAGTGACCCCCGCCTTGGCCTGCTGGAATGGAGCAGCGTAGCGGAAGAGACTTCTCGGGCTGGACACAAACATGTTTGTGAGTCTGACTTGATGCCACTGCCAGTCGACTCTCAAAGCCTCCGCACACATGTTTCCTGTCTGTTTGAAATGTCTGTAGGTACATTCAGTGCCAATCCTTTTGTGTTCAGCCCAGTGATGTCTCTTTAGCTTAGGTAGTTTGCGAGTGTGGTTCCTTGTTACCTTAGGTAACTTGAGGCACTTTGGCCTCGAAAGTGGAACAGACTGGCTGGCCGCATGCATGGTCTTGTCAAGTATGAATTCCCAATGGGTGTTCATATCTTGCCATGCATGGCCAACTTCCCAATCTGTCTGTTCCAGTGAGGTTAGAAGAGCAGAAGTGTTGAGTCGTTTAAAGTTCTAACGATGTTGATTGAAAGGTCTTGTTAGATTGGTTTCGCAAACAAATCGTAAGCCGATGACAACGTGGTCACTACTGCCCAGAGGAGGTAGGATTGCTGAGTTGTCTACCAGGAACTCTTCATTTGTGAAGGCGCAGTCTAAGCGAGATGGGGTTTGAGTCTTCCTAACTCGCGTCACCGTCCACACATTTCCGTAAGCTCCAGCCCCAATCAAGTGGAAGAATCTGGCTTCAGTGGAATGGTCGCCCCCGCTAAACGCGCGACCTGTAAAGCTGACCTTTGGTAGATTAAAATCTCCTAAAACCAGCGTGTGTGTGTGCCGCAGTTTAAGAGGGCAACTGACTGCCTCCAGCATCTGGTTATATTGTGAATCGGCAGGCGGTTTTCTGTAAATGACTCCCACCAAGCACTTTGTAGCCTTGGACAGCTTCATTGTGCACTAAAAGGACTCTTCAAGGCATTCCGGTTGTTGGATATGTATTTGGTGGGCTGAGAGAGGGAAGCTGACGTAAAGTGCTACCCCGCCCTCCCTACCAGCCTTCCTGTCACTGCGAAACGATATGGTATTAGCAGTTGACAGTTCCTGGTTTGACATTTTAGGCAAAGCCCATGTCTCAGCAACACCGATAAGGCGAGCAAAAGCATCCCTACTTAGGTCCCGCAGCTCTTCAAGTTTGTTCAGTAGACTGCGCATTAGCGTAGACGCGGTTTATGCTCTGCACTCGGAATGCAATGCCTGCACCCTCTCTATTTTCCAGTTGACTGGCTGGATCCTCAGGCGTGGGGGCTGGGAATGTGCCTGATCGCTGACTACTCTCAGTGCTCCCCGCCCCTTCCCCGTTTTTTGCATCTAGACAGTCTTCCAGAGATACAACTAGTTCCATTTTTCTGTTTTTGTTGCAGCCTTCCGTGCCGCGACCTATCAGGCCTCATGCTGACTGCAGATGGCAGGCGATTTCTGTTCGCCCAGAAAGCCTACAATGTGGATGCTGCCATTTGAGAGGTTGGAAAGACCACTTTGATTAGCCCTGGTCTGGGGTCATCGTCTTTTTTGGTCATGCGTGAGACGCTTTGGTTGATTACTTCCTTCAGGTTCATAGTGTTCTTGAGGAACTTCCACTCGCGAGGATCGTAGTGAATATCCTCGGTGCCTAACTTCCGCTTCAGCTTTCAGCACATGAAATACCAGGAGTACATCCTCAACATCCTCTGGGCTGGAGAATGTGAGCCTCAAAAGACGGGGTTTGCCCTTAGTTATCGGGTCGGGACAGTGAGATAGCCTAGTTGCGGCTACTGGCTTCATGTGGTCCGGCTTGAGGTTTCTCCATGCGCTCTCCCAAAGAACCCCATCATTCTTGTCCCGAAGACTATATGGGGGTTCAGGGCTGTCTGTCAAGTTCATGGCAATCAAGGAATCATTCCGGACATTGGTATGTCTTGTCAGCTGTTGATGCTCGGTCGTTCTTCGTTAAGCTTTCACCTCTTCTCCAGCTTTGCCCCCGTTCGTGGGGAACACGTTTGCTTGTCTGACAAACTGGTTATTGACTTGCGTGGTCTGATGTCCATTCCACTTTCCTGAGGACCCATGTTTAGCCCCCGATTTCCAGATTACCCAACTTGGGTTCGTTCCCTGGGTTTCTCACCTCCCCAGATCCGGTGGGTTTGACTGGAGTTGAAACTTGCTTGTTATTATTTCGTACAATGGCTACCCATTCTCCATCTTGACCATCCTTGTTTGGTATAACGGTTTCATTTCTCGCCTCATCTGTCGATGACGAAATCCGAGTGAAGGACCGTAGGACAGTTGATGTTATTGCACAACTGGGTGCATCTTGTCCACCGTCAAACTAGACCCTTGTTTTTGTCTAGCGACTTGAGCTCTTTTTCCACCAGACGATTTTCCAGCTCCATAACCCTCGTGCTTAGGCACTGCTTTTGTGTTTTCCAACTTCCCCTTTTTATGATCCACTTTCAGTCTGTTTTTATTCCGATGACATGTTGATGATGTTTTCAAGAGCATCGTCAGGTGCAGATCTACACAGGCGACAATGCCACTTGCGGCCGGGCTTATTGAGTTTGGTGTACTCAGTTTGCGTTAGGTCAGTACAAGCGATATGGAACCATCCGTTGCACGTGTCGCATTGCATACCCGCCTGAACAGGTCTATGACAGCCCTGCCTCTCTCACATCTGTTTGGCCACCGTTTTCGTTGAAAGTATAGAGAGGGTATATATTTAAAAAAAACTGAAAATATAAACTCTGGAGAAGCTTGAAAAAGAGTAGTAACCTAAACGTTATCATATCAAACCAAAACCGGGACAGAGGTAGAGCCCCGTTACCCTGGTATGAACAAAATTACAGGTAAGGAAGGGCAAACTTATTGAACTGGAAGCTCGAGAGAATACTCTTACTGAAAACCGGAGCTATCGTTGCGTTAGACAGAACAAAAGCTAAATTGCTGAATCACGGTAAGATAACACTTCCTTTCGAAAGCAGCGCCAAGTCAGTCATGTGTCTTTTCGTCCTTGCCCAAAGTAAAATTTTCAGTTTTTTGCTTAAAACTCACAGTGTGCTCTACAAGCAAATGCTGGTTGGGATGCACATGTGTGCGACTAGTTCATAGTTCATATAGAGATTATTTTGATCTTTGCGACTAATTGTGGCAACATAAGGTGTACACACATCCTAAAATTACAGAAGTACATGACTTTTACTGGTCCATGGATCACTGCATTACTTGGCAGTTAACATTCAGATCACTTTGTACTACTTTTCAGCCTTTCCAGCTTTCGAATTCTTCAAACACCATAGAATACACGGAAACTTGAGTTAGATGGTTTCTCGATTCTGGTAGAATAAAATATACACGAAATTATGCTGTTATCTATTTTTTCGAAACGGCCTCAATAAGGAACGCTAATGTTTACCCACCAATAGCCTATTAGCCAAGTGACCTACAAGTGCGTCAGTACTTCGCTTGCATCCATTCCCCAAACATTCAAAAGTTTGTGTGTAGTTTCGTGCACGAAATATCTTCTGGTTATTTTTGACTTATTATGCATATTTTCATTTGTTTTGCTGACCATAGTTGGATTTCGTTGTTAATTAGTAGTGATGTTTCGTCAGGATGGGAAGAAGTTCCTTTTTTTCACTGGTACTTGGTGGTTTGTTGTGTCTGTACCCAAACTAGCGAACCAAAAGTAAATTATTTACTTCGTCTCAATCTTAAATAGGCCTTTCGGGTAGTACGCATCCTAAATGTTACACTGAGTACTATCTTCTATCGGTGCTGTGAATTCGGTACCAGTTCAAACTGGTAAACACCGGGCCTTTTGGGTACTTCCCTACCACACTTCCCAACATTTATGCCCATCCAGAAACCTTTTTATATTCTACAGCTCTTCCTTTTCTCTTAAGAATTCATTTTAGTGTTGCAAATTAGTCAGTTTACGCTTTTGTATCTGACTGACAAAATCAACGTAGGACCTCGCACACGCGTGCATCAGTTCAAGTCGCCGCAATTAACAGTAATATAAGAAAAACGTGGGGATACAAAAGAATTGATATCAAACTAAATAGAGTTGCTTGGGAGAACAAGCAGTTTGAAGATAGAGGTTAGTGCGATTATTCAAGGTTTATCAGACGTCAAGGAGTGAATACATTGCACCATTGGCTTTCAACCATGTTTCTAAGAGTTCGCGATCATTGATTCCTACCGTCGGGTGCCCGACCCAGGGAGTCTAACTCCCGCATATGGCTCAAACCAGCAGTTCGAGACTTAGTCGACTGACGCCACGTTTTGTTCTCACCACCCTGAGCCCTACTCCAACCTAATCTAACTTCTCCTGGCACTGCACGCTGAGAAAGGAGGTAGCTTGGTATTCGCAGTACATGTCCAAGCCGTCTCAGTTGATGAACGTCCACAACCTCATCAGTTGAGTTACCTATCTTGCCTAGTACCCTTCGCCTGACCTCAACATTGCTCACGGTGATTCTTCCAAACGCGAATAGTGGTACAGAGATGTCTGTGATCGAAACTGAGTTATTGCTTCTTGTTTTCCACCTTTAATCGCCATAATTTTACACTGACAGACCAAAATCAATTTCATGTACACTCATTTCGGAGTCTGTTTACATTCCTTCCGAAACTTTGGCTGCACTGCGGGCACTGACAGTTTTGGGGCGTGCAAATTTCGAGCAAAAGTTCGGGCGGACTTAATAGCGTTTGAAATCTGCGAAAAAAATCTTTTGGGTTTTGCGTGAATGTATACTCATGTCTCCGAGTGTACCCAAATGCTTTTTCAGAATATTAGCCAAAAGCCCGAATTGTTTGGCGGCTGGTTGTTGATATTAACGAAATAGACTACGCTTTATTATCCATTCAACGTTACGATGTTCGTTGTTACATACTAGCTGGCTGGTAAGTCCAATTCTGAGGCTTCATCCAACCTCAATATACTACGTCAGCATCGAGTGACACTGATTTCTACCTCTGTATGCATCCTTTCGATATGCTTTTTGGTTGACTAAAATCGCAGGCTAAAGATTACGACTGCTTCTATGAAAACAACGAGAAAAATTCCATCTCAATATCCATCTTAGGGATAACTAGGTTTGATATGTAGTATGCGAAATATTTTATCCACTGGCTGTCAGTGAGTTAATTAGCTGTCATCGCCTAACCTTTTATTATATGGAAGTTCGTAAAATCAAATACCTGTATCTTTATGTACGTGCTTTAACTTCTGCTTCCCACTGTGTGTGTGTTGTGTACGGTAATTCTAGCAGGTTAGACTATTTGTTTGATAAACTCAATAAAGAATTCAGAATGTTTTCTTGTCACCATTTGTGGCCGATTATAGTGGTTTTAAACAGCGAGTTAGAACACGTATTAAAAAGATTTCAGAATTCAGTCAGTTGCGGAAACTAAGTAAATCATGAACCCGTAAGTAATATTTTGGCTGATTGGCTCCGTTAGGGAAGTCGTGCATTTTGATGAAAGTTCAGGGCAGCATGGGTATCAAGAAATAAACTTAACATCACTAACACAGAAAGGTTAAAAATTCTATGGACATGAAGCTACGTTATTTTTGTGATATCATTGAGTACCCTGATTGTTTTCCAATCTAAGTCGCTCATAATTACATTGAAAGAAAAGACGAAAACGTTAACCACTTGGGTAGTCGACAATGTTAGTTTAAAATTACTAATTTGTGGTAATCATTTGTCATTGGTAAAATAATGATAGTTTGTACTACGATTAACTTAGTTTACTAAGTCTTACTAGTAGCAGATCAGAACAAAAGTGCGACAAAATAATTATGTTTGTGTGATAGATCTCAAAAAAACGTATTTCTCGACTAGACAAAAGGAATATACACAGAAGCAAAGGAGCACCTAAGCACCAGGTAAATGGATTATCGAAGAAGCAGTTTCAGGGACCCATTCTAAGAGCCCCTCACTAACTTTAATTTAAACCACTAACAAAGAAAAAGAAGCCACAGCATGGTCACCACTGATTCTGAGCCATATTCGATGTCTCCAGTCGGACTTGCTCCTCCTGCATTCCACACATGAATTTCTAATGTAGTAATATTATAGTAATCCTTTCTTTCAGGACATCACGTCATGAGCTGACGATTTTTACTCTCTTCCTATCTAGTATCATAGCTGATGGATGGTGTTATTTTAGGTTCTGGAACCACAATCTGAACACGAAATCCAGTGTTTGCATATCATTTAATAGGCAATAATAACCATTATACCCAAATACTGTCAGACCTCAAAATTACCTACTCGAATGGTGAAAAGCGAATAGTATGCTAATAATCGCAACTTGACTAAGTACGATCTCACCAGCCTGATGTCACAGTGAAATAATATCTTCTACATGCTCAGGCCAAAAAGTTCATAGTGCCAGGTGAACACGACCGCCACCACTATATACCCTCTTAAATAGCCCTGCAATGTCACCACTCAAGTTTGAGGGGGAATGACGTAATTAGACGACCCCGCTTAACCCACCTACTGGTTCGTAGTAATGAATGTGTTATATACTTGAGCTCTTAGGGCGTTTTTGTGTGTGTAACATTCAAGGTCTTGTTGAATTTGTCAGGGACAACCTTCTCCCACAGTCACATTCATAGCACAGTCCTGTCAAACGTAACTATTATATCAGGAAACACAACGGTCCATGTCATGCAATATTTGATGGTATTCGAGCATCTAAAGTAGAGTGAGCACGTAATCACTGAATGAATGACCCAAACAGCACCCAGCCTGCTGCTCAAGAATCAGATTCTTAAGCGTTTTACAGCCCTGCTAAGTATGATAGTAGCTGTTAGTTTAGTTGCGACCGGTAAATAGATCCCCTAATGATTGTCACACATATTATAGGCCTTTTTCAAAGATTAAGACAATGATGAACTTTGAGGTTGTTGCATGGCGTACCATATGTCTCACAGAATGTTTCGCTGACACCAGGCTTATTGCAGCTAATTTTTTGAACCAATTCGAATACTTTCTGACAATTACCAGGTGCAGCCGCGGCTTCCATTTCACTCGTGTGTTCTGTCTATCGAGTCCCGCAACGCTTGTGCGTGCCTTGTGATCCCTGTCGTAAACAACTTACGCATACTGTGCATACGTTAAAGTAGATCAGTGACTGTCACACAGCTGCTCACGGGAACAATGTTCATTAGCGAGATATCCTTTTAAGTTTCAAGCAGCATTATCTTTATGATGTTCTATGGGTACAGTCACTGGTCATCTGTACTTCCTGGAAGTTGGGCAGCTATTGTTGAAGCAAGCTGTGCTTGATATTTAGTTGTAATGATGGATGCAACCAACTTCCTGCTATCTTTTAGGATGACAACCTTGGCGGTCCCTAAAATGCAAGGGGAACTTAGCAAATTAAAATGTAATCAGAGTTTATACAGGTGCCCCAGAATAAAAACAGCAGTTTTAAATTAACAGTATTGCTAGCTAATTGTTATGTGATCTCTTGGAGCCCAAACTTAAGCGGTAGATGTAGGACACCAGACCATCGTAACGGGACTAGCTGTTTTACAAATTGATATTGACTAGAAATAGGTTGTGATCTGAGCCGAACCTTATTGTCTGCCTTGTGACTGATTGACTGACATTGATAAGCTAGACATCTGACCTGCATGGCTGCAAGACATTATGAGCAGATACGAAATGCTTGATCACAAGGAAATAATAGATTTTGTTATCTATTTCTAAATGCAAGCCAAAACCTATTGATCATTTCACAGTTTTTCCATCAATCTAGGTAATTCACTTACGTAGTTCACTTTTGATTAGTGTCGATTACATCCAACCATCTGAATATATATTTTCCTTTTAAATTGTGCTAAAGTCATGCGGCTTTATTATATATTTCTAGATGGAGACAATATTTCGGCTTTACTGGATCTTTTATTCAAGTAATGGTTCAGCTTAGTGATGCCGAAAGGTAGGAAGTCTCTGCTTTATGGCGTCAAATTTTCCTATTGTTGTGAATGGCAGAACTGCTCCTGTTCTTGCGATGACGAGGATTCACTCAAATTTCATCAGCTACAACATTTTAAGGTTAGTTTTATTATTTTCTTAGTGTGCTATCACAGTCACAAAAAAGAAACTTCTTCATTACTTTGAACGAGTTCAAATGAACTTATATGATGGACAGGTTACTAGTCTTAGTCAATTCCGCTAGTACCTGCAGTAATAACTGTGTGTCCTGTTACGTGTGCATTAGGTTTTAAAAGGATAGACTTATTACAAGTCTGATTTCGTTAAATCCAGCTATTTTTTTAAATCTTATCTTTGGATTAGCATTTCTACCAACAAGCTAGCTAATCTATTGTTGTTTATTTAAAGCATTCACAATCAACGAAATACTTATTTTGTCTTGAAATGATAGAAAAGATTTGTAGCTCAGGATGAGGATGATGGTGGTGTGGTGTTCTCTGAGCTTTGGGTTTTGTTGTGAACGTTTCATCACTAAGCTTAGTGACATCTTCAGCCCGAACTTCATAATTGAATATGTAGACTGTTTTTATTGACCTTGGGTGTTTCCCAACTGTAAGTTGGGGAAGATATTTTTCATCACATCCTCACTTCTTTGACCTTAGATTTCCTTCAGTCAAGCCATCAGATACTTTTCGTTGGAGTGAAATTGTGCTGTTTATTGTTGTCACATTGTACATCATTATTGGTTTGTCCGGTCAATTCGCCCTTGGTTGATGGATAGCTGTTTTAAAAAAATTGGATTACAGATTGGGTCTATGTTTACTTTTCTGTTGACTGCCTTTCCGTTTGAATGCCATGCTTCCAGAAATTATCTTGCAGCTTTTTAACCTGCTGTTTAGAGGATTTCCACATTCTCCCAATTGGATTCGCGATCGTAATTGTCCAGATGCATTGAAACCATATACTTATTTTAAATCTGATTAGTGATTAGTACACTAACGTGTTGCAAGCGTCGAAACTTCAGGAATTGATTTTGTCAATAGTTCCCGAAACGCACGTCAAATGTGTTTTTCGAATCAAATCTGATGTGAAATGTTTACGAGTTTCTCAACTGAGTTTTGATCAGAGTTAATGAAATATGCATTATTGCATATCATGATTGAAAAATCCAGAATTCATAATTGTAGAACAGCAGGAGTTTCATCAGTACATTGTACTTGTGGTGAATATTAAAAAAACTAATATTTGCTGAGCATATGAGAAAACGAAGCATTAAAGTTGCCGTTGTCGGATGAAGGAAAAGAAATCGTCATTGTGAACGAAGCTAGTTTCTTTAAAACTAAAACATTTTCTAGGAAAATGTGGAATGTATAGTTAGGGAATGTGTTGCATCACTGTCAACACTACTTTGTTCAGTTTAGCTGTTGGATAGCGCAAAACATTTATGAAAGTAAAGTAGCCATAAGTTGACATGTATCATTAACTTTTATACTCAAGTCTAGGAGGAAGATGTTTTACGTCGACTAGTGATACAAATCCAAAACACTCTATACAGTTACCAAGGTAAAGAAAGGTTAATTACAGTCTTTTTCTGAGTGCATAGGTCAGGTCGAAAATGTTTAATGGCGAGAACTTCTGCAAATCGTAATAAACATGGCCTTTGTTTGTTAGTTATTGCTAGGCGCCTAAGGAAAACAGGGCATTAAATAGGTGTTCCTCAATCCTTCGGGATAATAAACAAACAAAGAACGCCATTTTTATTACTATTTGCGGAAGCCGGTTCCATCAAACATTTTCAATCTGATCTGCGTATACAGAAAGAGACTAATTAACCTTTCTTTACCTTGGTAACTGTATATAATGTTTTGCATATGTATCTATATAGTTTTCCTTTATTTTGATTGCATCACCTCTTCATTGATGACTGTTAATTACTCAACCCAAAGTTTTTTTGTGTAATAAGGTAACCTACTAGCTCTTTAAGAACCCCTTGTTTTACACTCCGGTCTGTTTATTGTCACTCCCTTTCCATAGCTCCAGAATTTTTTTATCTCATCACTGCCACTGATTCTGACTAAGGTTTGTAATTACTAATTCTGTGTTTCCGTGACTCGCTACCTTATTGTATCTCCTGGATTTCAAATCATCATCTATTTCTATATATTCCAAGTGTTATGTCATTGTTACCACTGATACTTTACTTCAAATGTAGGTTGTTTGCAGCTGATGAAAGGCTTCGAAATAAAATGACCTCGTTTTATTCTGCAAATGTTTTTGTTCTTGCATTGTTCAGATTTGTCAATGGAACTAAATTTATGACATTTCTAAAAATATTAGGTCTTGTTTGGATAGAAGCTGATTCGAAAAACTTCATTCTAACGTTTGAGATGAATCACGAGGTCTTGCTAGTCATTATACAGAAACCAAGACAATATGACCGACCAATATTCCTTCGTGAATTTTTATCAGACAGAAAGATGTGTTGTAAATTTCCCAATGAATACTAATATAAGCTAATATAGTAAGGTTGAAATGTCTCCTATCACTTGTATTATGTTACGTGTTAGCGCATGTTGAAGCTGTTTTAACGTTTCGCTGAGTGTGCCCTGCAACTGCGACGCTTAGTATCAGAAATTTTGATTTTTTTTTCTATGACCCATTTTTTAGCAGTTGCATGGTAACATCTACTACTATAAAAAGATATCTAATCTATTCCGGAAAATCTTTCAAATTTATACCTTCTTAATTGTTTTAATTAAGATTCTCTGGTGTATAAGCTTAAGCTTTTTTCTGGGTTTTCGGATTATTGCTGATTGATAAACGGAAAAATCACGACATTTCAATGGAACGCCAGTGATATATATATATATATATATATATATATATATATATATATATATATATATATTCACTCATTACTATAATCTAAAACCTGAATATTACCCTAGTATTCATTTCTGTCAACTGGTATCTTCTAGAGATTTTCATCATCATAACTATACTGATTTCCGTTACTATTCTGACCGGAAGACAGTCAAATCAAGGGTAATGTGTGCATATCCTACATCCTATTTTGAACTTGTCTCATTCAAGTATGTTATCAATGCATTTGTGTTTATTAGCAAGTTTTGATTATCCAAGTTTTGGTAAATATAAATGTTTTAAAGCTTTGCATATTTCATTTTGTGTAAATAGGTATTGTGCGATCAAGTTTCTCAGGGTCTGTGTCTTCCTATCTGTGGAATATGTAATTCTGCTTTGAATACAACTGATCTCGATGGGATTGAAAGGCATTCATTTTTTCATTCATGGGTTAGCCAATTGAAGAAAACTGGAAAATATATTTTGGAAACTAACGACTGGCCATTATGCATGTTCGACTCAAAATGGTGTAATTCAATACCTGAGCTTCCAACTAAGTTTGAATGTGGTTGGGAATATTGTGATTTTAAAACCAATGATGTTTCTACGTTTATTACCCATGTGTCGAAACATTCAGAGGTATGGTTAGTTTTTCATCTAAAAATTTAGGTTGGTATGACTATCATCAGTGTTAGCATTTTTCATCCCCCTTATACTTTCTCTGACCTAATTTCCATTGTTTTGTTCGATTGTATTAGTATCGAAGTTCGGACCAGTACGTATCAGTTCTTGTTTTAATAATACCTGAATTCCTATAGGAGGGATAATGAGAAGAAAGGTAACAACAGTGGGAATGGGAACTGTAATAAATTTAAGTTAGAAATCTTTGTCTCACGAAGGAAAGTTAAGTGAACATGTCGCTTGTGGAACACAACAGCCAGTTTGACTAAACTGAAAGTTCTTGTGCGTAAACAGTCTCTCTATACATGCGTGAAACTACCAACTGAATGAATCTGTATACTTTATCTGTTTGAATAAAACGTTTTTCGAATTATTTCACTTACAACTGTGACTCTTAGTTAGACTTCAAGCGTTCTCCAGATTAAGTAGCTTATTTACTTACCAACTTTCCTGCATTGTATAACAGTGCATGACATGTTTTGTAATTGCTCCCCCCGATTGGAAGATGAAAAGGTCAAGTGTGTATTTAGGGAAGAGATAGATAAGCACTTGTTTAAACACGGTAGCAATTCTGTTTCTGAGGAAACCCGGAGTAATACTAAGCCTGTTGTAAAAGCAGCGGTATGGGCAGCTGGTGACCAGCATCCAAGGGGTTAGCAAAAGCCATTAAATTCCCGCAAACTCATCCGAACTAATTGATGCTAGAAAACTGGTTCCAGCTGGCTCTGATCACAACGAAAAGTGAAAACAGCCTAAACGTGAACTGACAACAAGCAGTGGTGGATGGCAAACGTGAAAAAGGTGGAGAAGGCATCAGGACTAGGTAATACTCGGTGATTATTCGGGCATATTAGGGTTACCTTGCAGGAAGATGATGTTCAGTGAAGCCATCAGCGAAAACTACGGGTTCACAATAACGTATCGAAACAGGTGGTGGTAACGTTGAATGTAACACTGAAAAAAATGTTCAACTACACTTCATTTTCCCAATAACAAGCTGGAACCTGAATAGGGTATAGATGCCCGCCGTTTAACTCTCCTCGAATTTGGGAAGACTGTTCGTAACCTGAAACAGTACAGAGCAGCAGGACCTGACGGTTTACCATCAAAGGATTTTAAGGGTGGGAGTAAAAACATGGTAAAGTAACCGGGATACTAGCAGGTGAATCAAAGCAAGAGACGGTTTCACCAGACTGGTCTAAATCATGTCATTGACATCCATGGGAAAGGAGGCAAGTCTTTGTATGGCAGCCATAAGGAGGTCAGTCTGAATAACATCCTAAGGACCATAGTTCTATGACACCCGTTTGCAGCTTGAGAAAAACATGCAGGTTTCAGCCACGAATAGCAACGTATTGATCAGATCTTCAACTTTCATTAGTAACACAAGAATATTACCGGTGCACTTTGCTTGTTACATTTCTTGACTTGAAGGTGGCATTCGACTGTGTCGACAGAGGGGTTATTGTGACAGTGCCTGACTGTGAAAAGAGCACCCAGGAAGTATGTAATGCTAACTAAAGCCCTCTAATGGAGCTCGTGCTCCCATGTAAGGGCTTTTAAAAAGTTATTTTCTGAAGTAAAGACAATCAGTGGTGTTTGTGTGCCGTCGTCGACTCAGATATTGCGCATGGTAACTTATCGTATATTCTATCATTTGATATAAGATTTGGCTTTAAAACTCAAAGTGACCAGATTAAAAATGATAATAATTCATAATTCGGTGACTTTTTGTTTGAACAGTGTCAGGAAATGTAGGCTCCGTGGTTGGGGTTTGTAATACAACCGAGATCTATTGTTACAGATTAAGTGGTTTGGCTCCGGATCAATCACAGCGCCGCAGATTCACCGAACCTTATTCTTCTTATGAAGGATAAGAATGCAAACAAACATCTTTGTTATTTTTGTGTCTTCGCATCTTATGACTGCTTGCCGCTACCGGTAACTAGTTGCTGTTTAATGTGATGTATAGCATCAACAAGTATTCAAACTTTGTCCACTTTTTATTGATGGTTTATTGTTTTAGATAGGATTTCTTACATTTATCTTCTTAGCAATGATTATTATTAAGTTATTAATTGATGGCTACACATCAACGATGTCATTTCTCCAAGAATTTACTTTTCTGAGCACCTGGGTATGTGATTCCGGTAGTTGAAATGTCATCATCATCAATATCAACATAGTTGAAATGTAAGACTGATATATCTCTTCTTTATTAGGCAACAACTCACAAGTCAACTACTTTATATGAATGGCTATATCGTATGAATTAGCAACTAATTCTTAGCACCAGTGTAAGAAGATCAGTGGACATAAAGTAATTCATCCTGTAAGCGACCAATGGAACGTCCACCTACTGACTAACGATAGTTGCGAAACTCGTTATTACTTTCACTTGTATTCCGTGACGTAAAATGTCTACTGAGATGTGAATTCATAAGACTTCATCCGCCTTTATTTTTTATAAGTGAAGCTTTCCCTTCATCACTCTTAACTCCAGCTATCTGTATTTATTATAGAAGTCAGGCAACATGAGATGTTTGATTCCCGATAAATAAGCAAGTCATATTCCTCATGAAGAAAAAGAAAAACAGTGTTTCGGAAACATCAAGAAAAAATCCATGGATTTGATAATCTTGATTATATTTTCTGTGAACTTTGGTAGCTTAACTCTGAGCTCCTGAATTTGCTTGGGATAATTGACATAAAATAGGCAGCACCATGGTTCTGCGGTATTCCCCTTCTTTGCATACCACTGATTAGATATTCCTTTATTTAGCATTCCCTTGCCTATGAATTATTATTTTCTCTGCGCTTAAAGCATTGAGTGTACTTCGATAGGTTATTTTGGAAAGAGAAAGGAAATATAATGGTGCATAAAATAAAATAATTTAGAAAATGTATTACTTGAGTCGAGCTTTTACTGGTTATTATGTCCCATGTTCTTTTTTTCTTTCCAACTATTGCTTTATCGAGGAATATACTGACTCTCGGTATCCGGCAGGTGTGCGGTTGAAGTGTTTATGGGAAGATTGTACCTATGTGACCAATCGTTTAAAATATCTCTCAGGCCATTTGGATACTCATACTCAAACCAAACGTGTAGCTTGTCCTACATGTGGTCTGTTGTTAGTTAATTCTGGCAAGTTAGAAAATCATTTGAAACGCCAACAAATCCATTTGTTAAACAAAGGTGGTAACGTAAGTGTTGTTAAACGGCACAGCTATAGCTGTTATTAGCTAAAAATTTCATTTTCAAAGCCTTTTTCTCAACATACATGATATGTGTGCTGATGTTCTTCGGTATCATTTGTGAAGTTTAATCACACCGGTAGCATAGTACATGGTATTTATTAGATTACGGTGTTTTGCTCTAAATCCTTTAGTAACGTCTAATATAATGAAGCATATTTACCCATATAGACCTCTTTATTAGGTTCATGAAAGAGTATGTTTGTAGGCGTCTTAAGCTACAGAAGCATTTGCATGCTCACTGAGGAGGGTTTTTTTACATCAGAGAATAATCATTAATTCCTGCGGAAGACTACCTTAAACTAAACGATCTACTGTTCATTCGCTTATATACAGAATGTGTTGCGTACAAAGATTTGAAAAATGACAATATCATATTACAGAAAAGATGTAACTAATAGTTTGGTTTCGTTTTTTGAACTACTGACATTTCATCAGGTGGCTACGACTGGGAAGAGTGAGCTCACAGTGTATATGTATTTGTAATATTTGTGCTACAACTTTACCGTAGTTTAAGCAGACATCACCTTAAAGACTAAATGGACATTTTCAGCCATCATAGTTCTTAGTTTCATCCACCCCACAATCGATTTGCAATACCCATCGTCTGATTGTCTGATTCTGTCAGTTTGGGATCTTTTACCAAATATGTAACATCATCTAATACATACTGTATTCAGAATATACAATCTTTTAACGATTCTCTTTAGTAAAAATTTGGCACTGTAGTACAGCATAATTCCATACTGAATAAGTTTATTTGATATAGCACACATTGAAAGCGTTCCTTACAGCATAGCGTTTTAGTTTTCAGCTTTCAAGTTTAAAGATAGTAGGTCGAGTACCCTATATTAATCCTGGCAGTATTTCTGTGAAGATCCAGTTTCTCCTTAAAAGCATTCACCGAAGGAGCAGATACCACATATTCCGATAATAAGTTCCAACTGTTCACCACCCTGTTACAGAATCTGAATCCCACTTGTAGTTTATTCGACCATCACTTTTGAACTTTTTATGGTTATCTATTAGATAACCAGTCTCAGGAGGATTAAATAGATTAGAAATATAAACACTCAATTCATTATTTATGATACGATACGCTAAAATCAGACCCCTTTCCACTCTCCAGGTAACTGGACCTGAGACAGAGATAAATTAAATATCTCTATTAGAGGTTCGTGAGTAATGTCAACCAAGATCAGAAACAGTTTGGAGTGCAAACCGTCGGAACCTGATGACTGACAGGGTTTTAAATAATTTAGCAATCTAAACACTGCTTCACTATCCATCAAAGCAGGAGCCGTTTGTGTGATCTCAACCATGGCCTAACTTTACATCTGTTTGTTAATATCTACAGAAAAATTCTTAATTAAGTAATTCGATTCTGCCAAGAAAACATCCAAGTTTTCACTGGGAGGTAGATTGGGTATTCCGTCATACCTTCTGATCCTGCTCCTGCTCTTAATATCTGAGAAAAGCGTTTTAGGGCAAACATCACAGTTATACACTGATTGCTTTTCATACTCAATGGGGCGTTTAGTGATGAGAGTCTCACAAGAGTTTCGAACTTTGTAGTACTGTAACTTGAAAGTAATACAACCCGTCTCTATAAATAGATCGCAGCACCCCTTCCTCCTCAACAGACTTTAGATCCTATTATCTATCTAACGTGTTCTTTGAGAAGACGTTCGTGGTATTGACTGAGGAATAATGAAAGGGGATGCGACACTTTCGAATGTTGTCTTAAATTTTTCCCAAGCTTTTTCAACAGCCTAGTCTGTGTTGACAAACCAATCCATTAAAACCGCTGTCCCTAATCGCTGTCAGATCTGCACGCCAGATATTTGTTCCGGAGGGAATCAATCGATAAACCAAGTCGTAAGTTCTGAATTCGAAAGTAAGAACTAAGTGGTCACTGTTCACCAGCAGTGGGAGGTGATTCACAGCCTTATAATGGTGAGTGAATATTAAATTCAACATTGAAAGCTCATCTCTCGATCAAAATGTGTAAGTAAAACTGCATTTTATACACGAATACATTCGAAGGTAGCAACTCGATATTTAGACAGCGATTTGAACATGTAGCATTCAGGTCTTCCACTATCAAGCGCCTATTGCTAGTGCCCCGCCTTAATACCTTCCCGAATATATAGCGCTGCGTCACCACCGTCAGGACTAATGACTCTATCCGTTCCTATGTAGGTAAATCCCGGTATAAGTTGCGCAAGGTCTACGCCCTCTAATCATCATGTTTCCTCGGCAAAATTCGCTACGGAGACCTCACCACCTGAAAACCCAATAATTGTTTTAGCTTTTTCCTGATGGGTCTTAAGTCGGATCACAGCTTCCCCTCTCCTCACCCTATCCTCAAGTAGCTGATCATAACGTGATCTCATTATCTTATCCTTAACCTTGTATGCATTCCTGAGAGCAATCCCACGTTCTTTGGGAGTATCCAGCACAACCTTCATGAAACACCATGCATTACCAACTTTCTCCACTTCCCACCATCCTAGTCCCAACACCCCATATGCTCCCACAGGAGACTGATAGGTGTTCTAGTGCTGGTGCAATAAGTTGCAAATCATGAGCGTGTCGCTTAGGTGCATCCGAGTCTGTCGACTTCTCTAAGTTACGAAATATTACACTGTAGTCTCCTTGTTTCTAGATTCAGTACTTAAGATCTTTGATACCTGTTTAACGTCTTTAGATGTCTTTGCTGTCAACGATCGAGTGTTTGTTGGTGTCCTGTTATTAGAATCATCAATCCACTTGTGCTGGGATGCCTCTATGCCATCAGTGATTTGAGTTACGTGGTACACTGGGTAAATCAGGATTGCTCACTGGTTTAGCCGATTTCTGCAATAGAATTATTGTAATATCCATTACAGACATATACCGAGACCGTATTATTAATGAAACCAAGGAATGACAGGTGAAAGAACTATCTGAAGTAGGTGTTGTTGGTACGATAATAAGCAGTAAATTGTACTCGAAAGGTTATTCAGTAAATAACGCTGTTTCAGTGTGATCTATCAGATAAACTTGTTTATATTACGTAATAAATTGTGTGAAACGTTGTTCAGTAAGTAATACTGTTTCAATGTATGACAAATCTGATAAACAGGCTAAAATAGAATTTTATGCTACCATATTGCCCAAGTTTTACTTTTATGTTATTGTGTACTCATGTCTTTAATTTTACCTTCACGTTTACCATCTATGTATGTGATATAAAGTTAGTGCAGACAGGAAATGGTGATTGCTTTTCCTTTGATGATGTGAAAATAGAAGACAGGTCGTAACTATTCTAGTTACATCATTAACTGACTATCTTACTCTCTCACCAGACACCGGAACACTTTTTAAGAAAGTAACTTTTCTTGCAAATCAAATAACCACTAGAAATTAAGGGATTCTTCATTTCTCCTCTCACTTTTTCGAGATCCTCGATGGGTATGCTTCTGTGGCTAGGTTATCTCAGAAATCAATGCCACTACATATTAAGCGTTGATTGATGTTTAAAAATGTAACCTATGAGAATGAACACAAGCCTTCATAACGGTCATGAATGCATACTGTTGATAAGTCCTAGGTTATTGAAAACCACCTATCAAACACCTATGAGTTCTCAGTTATCGTTAGACGTGCATGCAGTGTGAACTGCCGTTAAGCATACCAACATTTCCGTTGTGCAGTTATGAAATAAAATTGTTTCTGCTATTTTTATTGTCTCATGATATAAGTGTCCAGTTTATCTATTTGTATGTAACTTATATTTACAGTTCAAAGGGGATATACATCATTCAGTTAAACCTGTTAAGTGTACTCGTTGTCGAAAGATATTCAGTACGAAAAAGTTATTAAGAGATCATATGAAAAGGCATATTAATACAGTGAAATGTCCTTTTTGTGATATGACTGCATGGAGCAAATCAGGTAAATAGTAATATTTCGTCATTTTTCATTCTCTGTTTGAATTGTTAAAATGTATCATCTTGCATAGCTGATGTTAGCTTCTTAGAAAGGATTCTGTTTAATTAAATTACTGATTACGGTCAGAAAGGTAAAAACTACATTCTACAGCGCATTTACTCTCAGCGTGCTTCGTTCGTTTACGGACAGTTTAGTTATTAGTAAGTTTAGTAACTCGTTATAAATATCTAACGATTGGATGTAAAAGTAATTACTACTTGATTATATGTGTGTGAATGAGTAGACAGCTGAACAGTAATCTTCTGATTCCACTCTTGATGGTCGTTGAGTTCTTCAGGAAATAGAAAAGGAGGTACAATTACAGGTGTATTGGAACGTCAAGGTATATGCGAAATACAACGGTCTGTATATATTCGCAGTGGCTTTGAATATTTCTAGGCCTTTCTGTAATAACATATTCCATTATTTTTCGCCTCTTCAACTAATCTGGTATTTACACATTGGCTCACGTGTTTTTTCTTGAGACTCCGAAGCAGCATAATTGATTGGTTGTGAAAGTTTCCAGGGATTAAGGGCTTCTTATGAGGATCTGGGTAATATTGCCTCACACTATAACAGTATATATACCTGGCTTGCCGTAAAAAGCTAAGTATTCTGTTGAAGGATGTGGCTTAAATACCGAAGCGTTCTGAAAAATCTTATTTTTAATTGTTTAATACCCTAGGACTAGATTAATTAGTCTTGAAAAAGCGTTTGCCCTTATTAGTATCTTCCATTACCTAACAGTACTGAAGGACAAATATTTATGGTATTGTTATGATAGTCACTAACTCGGCTTTCTAAAGTACACGTTTCATCTTATTTAGACAGACGGATAAATGAAGGTAATAATGTTGGTTGGTAATAATGTCCAAGTTTTAAAAGACGTCGAAGAATGTATACATCTGCGCAGCTGTGACCAACTTTCACCCATTTCATCAAGATTCTTTAACCATTGATTTCTATGGTCTCGACAAGGAAACAGGTGGATAGGAAAAGAGTGACATTAAATTAGGTGCGAGTGTGTATGGGATGGAAATAAAAAGATAAATGAAGTTTAATGAGAATGTTTAAGACTTCGAAGATAGCAGGAAATGAATGCATCTGCGCCATTGTGATGAATTTGGAGCTATGTCACCAATAGTCTCTAACCATTGGTCGGTGTTACCACAAAGACACCAACTGAACGGTCTACACCTCCGTATAAAGCTCACACCAACAACCAAATACTTCATAACTGGCACCACATCTTAGTATTTTTGTAGCCCGACGCAGCCCTGTTTTGACTAACAGTGCACATCAAGTTGAAGGGTGGCTCAGCGTATGCAATACACCTCATTTGGTCGAAGGTTAACCACCTGATCGACTGACTTACTTTGACGAAGTATCTTAAGCCTAACCCCAACATTGCTCAATCAGTGATGAAATCACTCGTGAGTTGGTAGTGAAGACTAATTATATGTGTCATTTCATTGTCACCGTTCGAAAATAAATCTAACAATGCATTCATCTACTGAACAGAGGGCTTTCAGATCTTAGTGATTGTCACTTTTACATTATTAATTTTTGTACACTTTTTCGTTTAACGAAGGTTTGGACATGTTCCATTTTTTTGTCTGTGCTCAACTGTAAGCTATGTGATATGCATTAGTAGTAGTAGGCAAGTGAGTAGTTAAGACTGTAAACCCCCATTGACTGAGGGCGCTTGAACATATGATACACATACTGAGCCACCGCCTACATCGACGTGCAATGTTAACTGAAGAAGAATTGGGTTGGAAGAGAAGGCTTGTGATTACCCGATCAAAACCTAGCATCAGTTCATAAAGTCTCTGACTCTTGATCTGAGCTATATATGGGATGTAGATTGTCTCTCCTCGTGTTGATAGGAACCAACGGTTGGAGACTTATTGACATGACTAAAAATCAGTTACAATGGCCCAGATGTATTCACTCGCTGACATCTTCGAAAATTTGAGCATTTTCACTAACCTTAATTTTCGAATTCCTTTTCCTCCCATGCATAATTGTCTCTGTTTTCAGTATTTTTGCATGCTGTTTTGAAGTGTGACGTCTTGAACCGATGCACTTGTGTACAAGGTTTTACGTTGATTTTCCTTGTCTGTAATACTCTTCAATAGCTATATTTTTTAACTTCTCTTATCATTTATTAGATTTTTACACATTCTATCATCTAGAACTGACAATTTTTACAAAATCCGGTAATCATTTTCAGTTTATTTTAGTATTACGAACTTACTGTGGATTGCGGTGAAATACTTCACAAATTGTACGCGTTTGAGCTATGAATTATCAGGTTATTGTCAGGTAGACTGTTATCAGATGTGTTTTCTCTTTGAACAGTAATTCATCAATGTGGGAATGTAGCCTGTTATTTGATATGTTTCATGAAAGGCGACACCATTTGATATCAATTTTATGTTCGGTGATAATTCTTTTTTATTTTTTTATCTCAGAGATGCAATTCAATTACATACTTTATAATCATCTTGAATTTTCATACTTTAAATTATGCCCTCATTTTTCTAAACTCTTCAGCTCTGGAACGTCATATTTTATTTCGTCATTCAAATGAAAGACCATTTTCTTGTCCATACTGTCCTTTTGCTTTTAAACTGCTGAGTGATTTAACACGGCATTTAAAGCTTAGGCATAAAGCTAGTGAACCAATCAACAGTACTAAAGAGTCAACAAATCCATCCGCAATGATTGATAATTCCACTGATTTAGACGGTAAGATTTATTTGTTTATTGTTATTATTAGTTTTAAGTTTTTATATATTCCCATTGTTAAAATGTTTAACATTACTATACATGATACTTTGTACCTCGCTTTGATGCCCATAAACCAGGATTTAGATACTTAATTACAACTCGGCAGACAAAACTTTATTTCTTCTTAGTTCTAGCTAAATATGAACATAATTTTTAGCAACCAATAAGATTCTTAAGTTATTAGTATTTTTGTGCTTAAAAGTGTGAGTAAAACTTGAATTGTCCGCAACTAAAAAGTGACAGACAGGTAAAGTCATCGAAGAACCTCGCACATATGTGCATCGGCTTGTCTGTCTTGCCCAGTACCATTTGCCTGACTTCAACACTACTCGCATAGTGATTCCTCTAAACACGATCAATACTGTGAAGACACCTACAATCAAAACTCCATCACCGCTTCATATCTCCTACTTTAAACGACCATGTCTCACAGCCGCACGACTGGACTGAACAGACTGCAGCGTAGTATAGTCGACCTTTGATAAATAGTCGGGAATATCACCAGTCAGCGCCACAGGTGACGTAAGTTGACAAATGCCGAATCGGTCATTTGTATCCGAGTTGAGATTTCGTCAGTAACCATCCCATCTGGGCTGATGCAACTCCGCAAGTGAGTGAAGTGGTCGACACATTTCACCACTTCAATCTTTATCATCAAATTAGAAGTACTTGTAGTAGACCAGTCCTGCAGCATCCTCTTACATTTAGCAGCTGCGAAACTCATGTCAGCTTCACATACTCAGATTCGTGCTCAAGGTGTTCAGAAGACACTGCGTTTTGTTAGCACCTTCACCTAGCAGAACAACTTTGTCTGAATACTGCGAATCAACCGGATAACCTTCAGGGAGTAGATCAACCCCTGTGAAGTCAGACATACCCAAGGTTATATCAAAGTTAAAATGGAACGGTGACAGTGAGCAACCCTAGCGGACACCCCTAGTTGTTGTCACTTCTTATTACAACTCCGCACTAGCTTTCACGCGGCTGCGTGAGTTCGAGTTGGGAGGTTTGATTACCATCAACTACTTTCCCGGTACTTCACAGTCAGACACTGCCACAACACATCACTGTCGTCCGAGTCAAATGCCGCTTTCACATCGAGAAAAATGACAAGTGTCGGCCACCGTTAAATATGCTTTGTACCAGAACCTTTCAGAGGATGAAAATACGACTGATGCCCCCTCATCCAGGTCTGAAACCTGCCTGTTTTTCTCGAGGTCCAGTTAGGCGTCGGATAACTATGGACCCTAGGATCCTTGTCACGATACTAGTCAAACTATTTCTTATGTAACTATCACAGTAAGACGTTTCTTCTTTTCACAGACAGACGATTAGGGAAGTACACCATCTTTGGAAACTTGAGGTGGCAAACTGTCAGGTCCTGATGCTTTGGATAGTTTGCGGTTCGACACAGCCTTCTCAACTTCAAGAAAAGCTGGTGGAGCACCATCTACGTCCCATTCAGGTTCTGACTGGATGTTGGGCAACTGAAGCGCTGCTGCGGACCTCTTCAAATATGCTTCAAAGTGTTCTAGCCATCGGTCCTGGGAGGTTATCACGGTACCTTCCTTTCCAGCGATCGTTTCACTAACCGTCACCTTCTTCTTGCCGGCAACCCTAATAAGCCTGATTAGTTGCCGGGTGTTACCTAATACTGGCATCTTCGCCATCTCCGTAGCTTTCTCCACCCACCACTGTTTGCGATCATTGTGAAGACTCTTGGTCAATTTGCGTTTAAGTTGCTTTAGGTTTCCGTTGTGGTCAGAGCCAGCTGGATGCAGTCTTCTCGCATCAATCAGTTCGGATAATGTCGGGGAAATCCAATGACGTTTGCTAAACTGTCTTTACCATTGTTTCTAGAGTAGGCTTACTATCACACCAGGTTGCCTCAGGATGAGCATTTCTGTCACTTTCAGATAATTGCTTAACTAACTCTTCCCTAATTACGTACTTGACGTCTTCATCTTCCAATCGACCATAGACAGACTTTACTATCGCCTCTTTCCTACGACCAGTAAGGTGCAGACATACGCGAGCCCGCACTAACACATGATCGGAGTCCATACTGATATTCCAGAGAGAGCAAAAATCCTTCACCGATCCTCTCTAACCATGGTTTATAGCAACATGATCTATCTATGTCCATCGTTGGTTCGAGGTAGTGCTGACCAGAAACAAGTGATTTTTAGATCGGAACTGCAACAGACAATCACTATTATCGGTTCGTTTGTATAGGGTTCCGTAAATACCCTTAAGATGCCTTACCGGTTGGCCCAGCTTCCCTAATTGAGGATTAAAGTCAACTGCCATTATGACATCTAAACGTTTTGCGTTTTGTAGCGAAGTTGACAACTTCTCATGAAATTCATCCTTTGCATCACCTGAACTGCAGTCGGTGGGTGCATAGGTGGGGATTCTGAGTAAGCATCGGTTGGTCTCATGATCTTTCCTCGTCCTAACAGACCCATTCAGTCAAGCAGCACATATACAACTGTCTACTGGTATCCAGTTGAGAAGTTCACTTTCTGCCATATGGAACAACGCTACTACTGGAAGTGTGAAAGCGGTTGACACTTCTCGGCTGTCCACTTACTGTGTGGGGGATAATGATACTACTACCTGGCTGCCGAAACCTTGAAAGGTGGAGTATATCAACAGTTCGATTCTTCCTTGCAATATCTAGCAGCCTCTGGTTGCAAGTAACACAAAGCTGAAGAGTAAGTTGACAGCGGCCATCAATATAAGAAACAAAACCAAAAGTGAAAAGAGGGGAAAGAACTTGAATGATAAACTACTACATCCAAACAGAAATGGAAATAAAAGATGAATGGGTAGTGAATCTTTCAGAATACCCACTGTCTACGACTACGATTTACTTCAGAAGGGACTGAATTACAACACTGAAAATGTAAATAAACTAGATTTCTGTGCTTCCTTGGAGTCTACATTGAAAAATTCAGGATTACATGTTGAGCGACAACAGCAACTACGTCAATCAATTGTACCGCTAGTGAAAATCAAAGAAAATCAACATCTACCAAACGTTTTTTACGAGAAATGTATCGAGATCACTAATGACTAGTGAGACGTTTGCAATATTACCCCCAGGTAAAGAAGGAAAAGCCATCGTCAGAAAGTACATAAGCCATTCAACGACGAGAATGCGCACCAACTACTGAACCAAAACCTAACTGAACAGTTGAACAGCCAGGTCAAAATAAAACTGAGGAATTCAATAAAGCTGACCAAATCACAAAAGAAGAAAAGTGGTTGACGAAGACGAATGGGCCATTCGTACCGATGTTCCACGGTCGACCTTAGATACATAATATAGGCATTCCACTAAGACCAGTGGTTTCTCTAACTGGAACACCATCAATCAATCGAAAGAATTATACAGAAAGTCAAGGCATCTCGTCAACAAAATGAACACTCAGTCAGATCAACAACTGAATTTCTAGGCAAACTAAAAGATTTGAAGATAGACAGTGATGAAGAGATGATATCCTCTGGTGTGACTTCACTCTTCACTTCAATTGACTCAAGTCTAGCCAGGGAGACTGTGGATATTCTTCTGAAGAACGAACAAACTCTTTCTGACTATACGAAGCTCATAGTTCAAAACCTGATAGGGTTGATCGATCTACGTCTGAGGACCTATTTACAATGCAATAAGAAGATTTACAAACAAACAAACAAAAAGGACACCTGTGGGAACGGTGATATCAGGATTGGTTTGTGAAGCAGTGATGCAGCAGCTGGAATCAACTACTATCTCTCTCATCAACCCAAAAATCTGAATTCGGTACTTTGAAAACACACGTATAATTTTTCTGAAGGAAGGTGAAGTAGAAGAAACGTTAAAGCCAATCAACCACATATTTGAAGGAATTCGCTTCATAAAGGAGAAGGTATCCAGTGAAAAACTCCATTCTTAGATGCTCTCATCACCAGAACATGCGACAGGACTTTACAAAATCAAGTGTAAAGTAAAAACACATATTGATCAAGTTTTCAACTAGAACAGCATTCATCTTATAGTCCGTTAGAAATATTGTGTACGAACATTATTCTCAAGAGCCAAAACACATTGCAACACTGAAGTATTGAGGGAAGGCGCAGAAAAATACGTGTACAGCTTTCAAAGTCAATAGATTAGCCACTCAACTTTATCCGAAGGTGTTTGACAGTAGGACAGAAGATAGGGTAACTGCCTTAAATCAGTAGGCACGTTGAGCCACCTCGCACTAAAGATATCTCGGAGAGGATCAACCGGTTGCTTCGTCAGTTCGGAATCGAAGTGGCACATAAACCAGGGAAATCACTACATGGCATGTTGTGCAAGCTGGAGAATTGCCAAAGGAAGACAGGACAAATAGTATCGGCAAAGTCGATTGAAAAGATTGTTCAAAACACTATGTTGGCCAATCTAACCACTGGATTGCTCATAGAATTCATGAACACTTACTAGGAGTAAAGCAACTCGAAGCAGTCTTCTTGATTTTAATGCACGCAATCACGATCATAAATTTGAATGCAATAATGTGGAAATGCTTCAAAAGAAATATGATGATGCTACATGACAAGTGATTCACAATAGAAAGCTCAGTGATGTCTTTGAAGTGAATACAGGAGAAAGACAAGGTTGCCAGTTACTATCATCGATGATCTTCCCGATTGTGGTCGACTGGAATGGATCATGCACAGACTGTGAGGAGCAAGAGGATGGGCATACGCTGTCTAACCGATGAAAAAACCTTAGAAGATTTGGATTTCGCCGATGATGATTTATGTCTGATGTCTTATCGCACAAACTCCAAGATCTACAGGCGAAAACTAACAAGTTGGTAGAAGAGGTGGCGAAGACGGAACTTCAGGTGAACATAGAGAAGACAGAGGTGATGCTCAACTAACAACAAGCACCAATTACCATCAGCGGGAGAAAGTAAGGAAGTTGTCTCTTTCACCTACCTACCTAGGCAGTATCGTTTCAATTATAGATGGCTCAGGCACAGATGAGGACGTCAAAACTAGGATCAGAAAAGCAAGATAGGTCTTCATTAATCTGAAATTAGTGTTGGCACCTACTGCACTGCACTCAGCATAAAGAACAAGATCCGGATTTTCAAAACTAATGTCAGTCAAGTCAGTGCTGCTATGTGATGGCTGAGAGACTTGGTGCGTTACGAAAAGCATTTCCAACAAACTACAGACATTCATCAATAGCTATTGCCTACGCTTACTCAATATTAAAGACCAGATGGTTAGAAAGAATAAGCAACAGGGAACTCTGGTTGCCTGGCAACAAACCAACCAAGAACTTATCGCCCAAAAGATATGCAGAAGATGGAAGTGGAGATGGATTGGGCATACACTGAGAAGACTGATTGGTGACATCACACGCCAGGCCAGGCCGTCGAGTTGAACCCAAGTGGAAAACAACGAGTTGGGCGTCCGAGGGTGACATGGAGGAGATCGTGTGAAGAAGAAATGAAGGCTTATAGGCAGCCGCGGAGCCAGGTTCAAGAAATTGCAGAGAACAGAGTGCAATGGTGACACGCTTCTGAAGCCCTTTGTTCGACTAGGAACCCAAGGGAAAAATAATAAAATAATAATAATAATGTGGAAATCCTCTAAACATCAGGTTTAAAAGCTGCAAGAGAATTTCTAAAAGCATGGTCTTCACACGAAAAACCGATCAACAGACATTTGGATATACACCCAATCTACTAAAGTATAAAACAGTCATCCATCAAACAAATCGATAATGACACACAGTGTCTCAGTAACACATACCACTTATCTCTAAGATGGTTTCTCTACCAGCGTAACGAAGGGAGTTTGGGGTCAAAATGTGGTAAAAATCTCTTTCTCAACTTACAACTGGACCAGACCCTAGGTCAATAAAAAGACCATCTGATCATTCGAATATGCTTCATTTCTTTATGAAGTTAGCTCTGAGGACGCCACCAAGACTGGGGATGAAGCGTCCACTACAAATATCAAAGTTCAGAGGACATCAAACCACCACCATAATTATGATCATACTACTGAGAAGCAGTAAGGTAAATAGTTACTTGACAGAGGGGATTTGAAAGCCTACCGTTAGAAAATACAACTGATATCTTGGTACAATATTCAGAAATTTTACACAATTGTCGATTAGTGGCAAAAAGAAAAATTAACGTAAGAACTGCACTACTATCGAAATCTAAAACAAATATAAAAAAATATAGCAACTGCTAAGTAGTGTAAACGGCACTGAAAAGGAAAGTAGCGATTTACAAAATGAGGTATAGAACATTGTCAATTAAGCTTTAAAACAGTATGAAATCAGACAAACAAAAGTGTGATTACTTCTGGAAAAGTCCACTATCATATTGTTAAGCATTCATTAGATGTAACTAAGGAATTTTGGGTATCCCAATATGAGATTTTCTTTTAAAACATGATTTTAGAATAAATGGTGTTATCGGATGGTTTGTACGAATAGCGTAAGTACAGGCACGACAAATGGAATCCTGTTAGCCCGTTATAGAGATCGACTGAGAATAGAACCGGTTCACATCGGGGCACCGAGTCATATTTTGATAGAACTCATACGAAAAGCTACCGCACACACAAATTGAAATACACACAACGACCACTCGCACGTTCATGTAGTAAGTAATGAGTCACAACAATTATATGAGGGCTAATAATGCTGTGCTACTTGGCTTCCGAAACGTCGGTAGGTGGGGTGGAGCTAGAGCTCGTGACTCACTGACTGAGAGTCAACTGCCTAAACCAATGAGCCACGGCCCCACTGCCGTACACACGGTAAAATAGAACGGATATTACAGGAAGAAAATCAGTTGATTGACTGAAAAACCTGTTATGTAGATACAAGTTTTAGCTCCTATGATAATTATCGGCTAGCTGGAGTTTTGCGCCATCCACACACGGGAAAATACCAAACGCTAATTACGATATAGCTGAAGTGGAGATTATCGGAGATAGTTGTTTAAAAGTCGTAATAAACCAGTTAATACGTTAATTTAATAAAGAAGTGTCTCAGTTTTCTCCAACTGTTGTTGCATATCCTCTAACAAGTTTCCATGAATGTATGGTGAGAAATTCCGAAAAGTTATTTCAAACTGTCAGCAAAAGGAAATTTCACAAGGAAAATGAGGACATTTTAAAAATAAACTTCGGATTAGGACATTATACATGAAATAATGAAATCAATAGCAAGTTTTCAATTTGACAGAAGGAAAAAATAAAATTTAGATTATTTATGATTAGCTATGAATAAAATCAGCATACAATTCCTTTGAACACGAAGGTCGTTTACATGCATTTATCACATCAACAGCTCTTAAAAAAAGTACGTTTTAGCTGCGTCGACCGACAGCTGGTACTATGACATGGTGGTCTTACTTTCATACCAAAGTGACCCAACGAAATACACCAGCTGGAACGCTTGTTCCTTGGAGGTTCTACCATAAAGGAACGTCTGTTGGATAGTGGTGAAACGTGTCGACCACTTCACTCACTTGCGGAGTTGCATCAGCCCAGATGGGATGGTTACTGACGAAATCTCAACTCGGATACAAATGACCGATTCGGCATTTGTCAACTTACGTCACCTGTGGCGCTGACTGGCGAGATTCCCGACTATTTATCAAAGGTCGACTATACTACGCTGCAGTCTGTTCAGTCCAGTCGTGCGGCTGTGAGACATGGTCGTTTAAAGTAGGAGATATGAAGCGGTGATGGAGTTTTGATTGTAGGTGTCTTCACAGTATTGATCGTGTTTAGAGGAATCACTATGCGAGTAGTGTTGAAGTCAGGCAAATGGTACTGGGCAAGATAGACAAGTCGACCGATGAGGTTGTGAACCATAGTCGTTTGAGATGGTTTGGACATGTATTGTGCATGCCGAGTCATCGCCTACTTCAACGTGTCATGCCAGGTGGAGTTGGATTAACTTGGAAGAGGATTCAGGTTAGCCAGGCCGAAACGTAGCACCAGTTGATTAAGTCTCTGACTGTTGGTCTGAGTAGTGTGCGAGAGATGTGGACTACCTGAGTGGGGTCCACGAGATGAAAGGAATCAGTGGTTGAGAACTGTTGATGACATGGCTGGAAATCGGTCACACTGGCGCAGATGTATTCATTCCTTGACGTCTTCTTAAGCTTGAGTATTTGCACTAATCTCCAAATTGTTTGTTCTCTCACACAACTTTGTCTACTTTGATATCGGTGTTTTTCTGTCGATCTGTTCTTTGTATAGTACTGTGAAGTGTGGCAACTTGAGCCGATGCACATGTGTGTGAGGTTTTTCAATGACTTTGCCTATCTGTCTGACATTTATTAACACTGTTTTCAGTGTGAATGGAAGTCATTAACGTGTTATAATTGATTCAGTCCAGTATGAAGCTGGTAAGTTTCTGAAATCTTAGCAAACTCACCGTATTACTTGTGAAATGTTTTTCCGGAGCCAGACTTCCCCTCCATAGTCTCAGGAAGCTCCTCATCGATTGCATCCATCCAACTAACATCTACCAAAGTGCATTGCGATGCTGAGCTGCATGGCCGGGTAACCAAACTGCAAAATGATCGATGGAATTCGACCATCACTTAGGACTCGACAACATGAAGTCGATTCCCTTCCAGTTTACCAATTAATCTATCGTGACCAGCTAGTCTGCCGTTTGGAATGATTTTAGGCACTTGATTAGAAAGTAATCTGATGGTTTTCCTTACTTGGTTGGACAAGTTTCAAAAGAATGTGCTCGTTTGCGTAAAATTTGATACAGTGTTCATGCGAAAGGAAGCGATTGCTTTCTTTAAAAGATGATGTCACCTGTAGAAACAAACATGATCAATATAAGCTTTACTTATATTTTACGCTAGCTTATTTATCCTTTTTATCGCTTTATTACACTAGCTGAAAGACGGACTCCTCAGTCGGCATCTGTAGCTCCTATTCATGGGCCATTAGCACAAGCTGGTGCTTTACCTCTTATTCAAACAGATGCTTCAACTTCTACAAATACTGAGGAAACTCGTGACACGCTAACGGATTTATTTGTTTGTCCTCATGAGGGCTGTGATTTCAAAACTAACAAAAGAAATGGTTATCTTGTGCATATTGGGCGTAAGCATAATTCACTTACACCCAATTTGTCGGTGGAGTCATCAGGTCGACAAAACGATATGGAAGATTCTCCAAGTAATCCACAAGAGCGTTTATACATCTGTCACATGTGCCCTGTAATTAAGCGACGAGGTAGGTTGTGTTTTGTATATTAATCTCACAAAGTGTAGAAGTTCACAGCTTAAAGTACTTACCCAGAAATCCAATTACAATTTTTCCATATATCGGTTGATTAGTCCCATAGGCAAGTATCTTTTGTCGGCTCATGATTCAAAGGCGGATTTTTATTGTCTACTGCATTTCGTAAAGTATTGGAAAATCATGCAAGACCGTGATTGGTTGTCTAGAGACCTATGAGTTGTGAGTTCAGTCTCGATTCCACCAACCTAGTAATCGGTACCCAGGTTTCATAATCACTACCTACATAATATTTATGGCCCCACCACCTAGCATAAAACCTTCAAACAGTTGTTCAATTGTATTCTCTGGACAAGCAAATATCAAACAATCATTTCTAATGCAATCATCGATTTAAACTATCTTTCGTCAACGCATAAAAGTTGGACTATAAGATATGACATTTACAGTTTTCAGTATTCTAAATATAGTTAGGTTCATAATTTTTGTTCAAAACCTTCATACTTGAAGATGTAAAAAATTGTTTGTGTTTTTTTCATGATTGGTGTTGACTTTGGAATAAAGTATTTTAATAAATTCAATATCTGGTAAACAATTTTTGGACAGACGATGCAAATGTAATCACCATGCCGTTTTCGATTTGACTATGTTTTTTTCTCGATTTGCAGAGAAAGTGTCTTTTAATTAATTAATTGATAACAGTGGCTTTATTCTAAAAGATATTCTTTAAACTGAAAGTCCCTAAAGTTTATTCAGCGAACTGTCTTCCTAAGATAGAATTCATTCACCAGATTCTCTTTATAACCTTTGAAGAAACATTCAGCATACCTTCAATTATCGTCTGCTTTCTGATAACCAAGAGATTTCCAAGTATTACAAAGGTTGTATTTTTAATATATTTCCGACTTTATCCTTCTAATCAAACCCGTAAATTTTCATTACCTGAGGGAGTTCTCGTGGTTAACTAGATTGAGATAACAGAACATATTTCCACCACTGTTTACTTCACATACTTCCGTATTCTGTAAAGAAGTTTACGATAAGATGGAAAAATAGGTATTTGTCATTTGGAAGTTTTCTGGTTATCACCTTTTTGTTTTATACACGTGAAAGCTTGTATAACACAACGTATTTTGTATTTACAAATAGGTTGGGACTTATCAAAGCATTTAATGAAAGATCATCACTTAGCTCGTCCGTCTGGTCATGGCCGTTTCACTTACACTCTCTCAGACGATGGCCATTATCGCCTTCAGTTAACTCGTCTTGACACTGTACGTGTTGCTGCTCAACTGCTTGGTGAAACGGTGGTTAGTGAATTGCTAGTTCAGACGAGAAATCAGCTGCTGTCTATTTGTGAATAAAACTTTAATTATTTAACCGTGTATAGGATACCATTATAATATTTCTTTTTGCTGTGATGAAATATCTCAAGTATACTAGTATTCTTCATCTAAACGTTCCAATAAACTGTATACCATATGCTTTTAGTGAACAATACTTCTTCGGCGTCTGTTTAGATCTCCACTTCTTTGGTTTATGCATGTGATTTGAATGCTATATTCATTTTATGAGTATACCTCGTTGATTCGACTTTGTATGACCTAACTATAACATTGAATATAATGCTTATTATAATTTTTATATCACTGCTTGTTGATCTTTATCTAAATACAGTCGGGGTATTTATTCTTGCAACCAACTAGGGTAGACGATGACTGAGCATATTTCAGCCATGGTTTACATTGGAGCGCCATACGGATGACACTTGTAAGAGTAAAACTGGGAAAACAAATCCAATAAACAGCACTTCCGAGTACTATGTACTTCTGCAAGAATTTCCCAAGCTCACTCAAACGGATTACACGATATCCTCTCCATAACGCGGTGACGCACCATATTCTTACAAAAGGTCCTCCAGTCTCATCAAAACCTCGACGCTTAGACCCTAAGAAGCTGCAGATAGCCAAGCAGGAATTCGATAAACTTCTAAAGTTGGGAGTTATACGCTCTTCCAAGAGCCCATGGTCATCACCCCTGCATATGGTACCTAAAAAATATCAGGGGAAATACGGCCTTGCGGTGATTATCGAGCGTTGAATAAGCGTACGGTCCCTGATAAGTATGCATGATTTTATGAACTCTATGACAAAAGTAAATATTTTTTCCAAGATTGACCTCGTGCGAGCTTACTATCACATTCCTGTGGAACCCAATGATGTTCCTAAGACGGCCATCACTACCCCTTCGGACTATTCGAATTTATTCGTATGCCGTTTGGTTTGACAAATGCTGCTCAAACATTCCAAAGATTTATAGATCAGGTACTCCATGGCTTACCTTTCGTCAGTGCATACATAGATGACTTAATAGTAGCTAGCGCATCTGAAACAGAGCACCTGCAACATCTGAGGACGCTTTTCGAACGACTGCGTGAATATGGCATTCAATCCTCAGAAATGCGAATTTGGCAAGGAATCCCTACAGTTTTTGGGTCACATTGTTAATGCCAACGGTGTTAAACCGGTTCCGCAAGAAGTAGATGCAATTCGAGAATATCCTGTTCCAGACTCGTTTCGAAAGCTGCGAAGATTTCTGGGGTTAATAAACTTCTATCGACGTTTCATACCTAAATGTGCTGAAGTAGCCCAACCGCTGACAGATTTATTGCAAGGACGAGCCAAAGTGTTTCACATGACCCAAGCGGCCCATGATGCTTTTGACAAACTGAAGCTGGCTCTAAGTTCTGAAACTCTTCTCTCTCGTCGTGATTCAGAAGCACCACTAGCATCATGACAGACGCTTCAAATGTTGCGGTAGGCGCAGTACTACAACAGTTTGTTCACGGTCAGTGGGAACCATTATCTTCTCGAAACGACTTAATGCTTCTCAATCGCGATACAGTACATTCGGCAGAGAGCTACTGGCGATTTACTTGGCTATCAAGCATTTCAGATATATGCTCGAAGGGTACTCATTTATAGTATTCACCGACCATAAGCCACTCACGAAAGCAATTGATGCAAAGCATGACAACTACTCGCCCGAGAAATTCGACATTTAGAATTTATTTCACAATTCACTTCAGATATAAGGTATATCAAAAACAGCTGATGCTTTGTCTCGTATGTACGTAAACGTCTTAGAACGTGACCATATTGACCTAGCAGAAATGGCAAAGTTGCAGGCACGGATGAGGACTTAGAACATTTGAAAGACAATGTGAACACCTCATAACGTCTTGAAGAAGTGGTGCTTGATGACTCTGTACCCATCACCTGTGATGTATCCAAGAGTAAACCACGTCCGTTTGTACCTTTGTCAATGAGACGATTAGTCCTCTCTAAGATACATCTGGCCAAAGATGAATCGAGATCTTCGACAGTGGTCCAGAACTTGTTTAGCGTGCCAGCGATCGAAAGTGCAAAGACATATTCTTTCACCTACCGGAAGATTTCCCTCACCGGATGGCAGATTTGACCATATACACGTTGACATCGTTGGACCACTACCCCGTCAAATGGTTTTAGCTACATTTTAACATGTGTAGACCGATTCACGAGATGGCCAGTGGCAATACCTCTGCAGGATATATCTGCCGAAACAGTAGCGAGAAATATCATCCAACACTGGATTTCTAACTTTGGTGTCCCAAGTGTCATCACCACAGATAGAGGTGCGCAGTTCGAGAGTAGTCTATTTCAACAGTTAACTGAACTTCTCGGGATCAAGCGCATAAGAACCACTGCGTACCATCCTGCATCCAATGGTATTGTCGAAAGGTTCCATCGACAACTAAAAGCAGCACTGATGGCAGTAAAGACTGATGACAAGTGGAGTGACAAATTACCACTAGTACTCCTTGGTATACGTTCGAGTGTCAAGCAGGACATTGGCTGCTGTACTGCTGAGTTAGTTTATGGAACTACTTTAAGATTGCCAGGAGAGTATTTTAACCCGGCAACAGACGTTCCACCGGACTTGACTAACTATGTACAACAACTACGGCGACACATGAGCACACTTCGACCTCAGTCCCCACGATACCGAGACAACCAAGTTTACGTACCTCAGTGCATCTCAAACTGCACTCACGTTTTCGTCCGACACGACGGCGTACGAAAACCCTTACAACCCCGTATGAAGGACCTTTCAAGGTAATTAGTAAATCAGACAAAGTTGTCACGGTCGAACGCTTGGGTAGACGAGAAACGGTCAGCATTGATAGAATCAAACCAGCGTTTGTGGAACCAGATGTCACGGATACCAAGTCTGAACCCACAGTGAAGCAACCGAAAACCACCATCAAAACAGAAACAACGGCGTCGGAATCACCCAATACTAGCGACGGTAGCAGAACCACGAGATCCGGAAGAAGAGTCCGTTGGCCACGACGTTACTTTCAGACAATTTACTTATCATAAAACCAATTCCCTAGTAACATTATTATCGTTTTTGCTCATTACCTTGTTGAAAACATGACCACACGATTTTGTCAGACTTTTCCGCATGCACAAAAAAAAATTCCCCCGGGCACCACGGACTTCCGAATCTTTTATTTCTTAACAATGTTCCAGGTAATACGATTTTGGTTGTTAATTTTTTTTATCTCCGGATATATTATTACTTTGGTAAAGTTATTTTAGTGTTTCGACTATCATACACTTCATTTTTATATAAACACTCTTCCAATCAGTTTTCATCCTGATAATAGATATCCTTAACATTCCTTCTATGTTTTGAATATCTTCAAAATGAATTTACCTTTCCCATAACATTTTATATCGAACAAAGATATTCCCTCTTATATCTGTATTCTGGGGAGGGACTTATGTAGCATTTTATTTCACTGTATTGTGTTGATATGTGTAACAATTCATTGAACATTTTTGTTTAGTTGTACTAATAAAAATGTTTAGCTCGCTTGTTGACCAATACAACATCTTGATATATACTTCGCGTTAACTCCTTATATTCTCACTATCTGACGCAGGTGGGTCAGCGGTTTTGGGAATTATAAATAGGCGATAGTGTATCTGGACACTTATATAAATTTGGAGTCAGATTTCAGAGCTCGACAGTGGTATTCATCTTTAAACGACGCCTACTTCATGTAGACTGAAATCACTAACTTACATAAGAACAATAGCTTTCGAAATGAGCTATATATATTTAACAAATCTTATCTGTTCCTTTTTTACATCTTGAAAATAGCAGTAATATTGTCTCTATGACAGTTGTGCCTCTGCTGCGAACCGTTGCAGATGCAATGCCCAACTGGTTTACCAATAGGACTTCTCGAATTCCTTTTGTTTTTAGGCTGTTTTCATGCTTGCTTCTTAATGTCTTCTATATCCGCCTTTTCTTTGTTTAATTTCGTTAACTTTTTATACTTGTAAACGCTTTTCTGTTCTTCGTTTGTCTGAAAGCCTTACTTTTTGGTACGTAGTTCATCTAGTTTTCTAGACATTTTCTGGTTCTGCTTGTCATGACGCATGTATCACAAAGCATATCCCATCTGAGCGATTACTTATGAGATATGTTTGCAATAAGCCCACCACTACTGTAATCCTATACAACTTTCTGCGCATTGCAACATAGTGTAGAATACTCCGTTCAGTACTGGCTGTTATCTGCATCCACTCTGCAGAAGTAAAAGAAGCATCAAATAATAATTATCTTCAATCTGGAAAAGAACCAGTGACTTATTCCATACGCTCTGAATCAAACGTCTTCATGTAAACAAACTTCATGAATTAACTATTGGATTATGTGAAGCTCAGTACCCAGTAGGATGAGATCAACTGTTTTCTAAATACCTGGATGTATTTCAATCAGGCATCAGTTTTACGGCCATGATTACTTTGGTAGCCTGCGTTCAAAGTTACAGCCAGTGATTTGTAGATACGTCATCCTACAGGTGGTTAACAGAACATCGGATGTCTGGAAACTAATGAGCATTAACATCATGGATGCTGTCACAATGTCTCCATGAAATATAGCAATAGCATATGAATAGATGAAACAAATTTAACGTTGGTCACATGCCATTTATGCAAGCATGATAGTTTTATCGGATTAGATTTAATTATGACGAATAGAATAAAAACCTAATATGACATGTTAAAGTGATAGCTTCAGTTGCATCATCAGTACAAAAACTTGAACTGCTGTTCGCTTTGGATTCAAAAAAATCGTGATATATCTCAACTGACCTTCGTCTATTTAGCATTGAACCTAGTTGTTGAGGTTCTGAATATGGTAAACGATACTGGTAATTCTTGAAGTCAGCTGTAAAACAGAAACATCCAATTCGCCACATAAAATCCTCGAACTTCATTGTTCCCACAGTTTAGTGCTGATTCCTTTCCAGAGCTAACCCAAATACTTAAAAAAATGGGTACAAGTAAACAAAGAGATGTCATCAAGATCAACAGATTCATACTTATCGTTTCATAAAAAGTAACTTTATTCCGCATTACCACACTTTTTTATGCTCATAAAAGTACGGTCATAGTGTACCACATAAGAGGCAGATGTTGGCATATATTTTAGCTTGCATGCTACGTAGAAAAAATAAATAAATAAGTATTTTTATTCTCAGGTTATGAATTTAACATGAGAGAAGCAGGTTTACAGGCAT